GGAGAGAAAATTTGCCACAACAAGCCATGTATGAGCTTCTTATAATGTAAGAGCACTGAAACCACACTGTCTGGGTTTGAATTTCAGTTCTGTCTCTCACTAATTCCAAGACTCCATTCCTTATCTGCTGCTATGGCCTGAATGTTTGTGTTCCCCAAAATTCATCTGTTGAAACCTAGCCCCCAAGGTCCTGATATTAGAAGGTGGAGCCTTGGACAGGCCAGTAGGTTATGAGGATGTTCTGAGCCCTCATGAATGGTATTAGTACCCTTATAAAAGAGGCACCAGGCCAGACATGGTGGCTCACGCCTATAATTCCAACACTTTGGGAGGCCAAGGCAGGAGGATCACTTTAGCCCAGGAGTTTGAGATCAGCCTGGGCAATATTCTGAGACCTGATCTCTACAAAAATACAAAAATTAGCCAAACATGGTGGCACATGCCTGTGGTCCCAGCTACTTAGGAGGCTGAAGTGGGAAGATCACTTGAGCCCAGGAGGTCGAGTCTTCAGTGAGCCATGATTGCACACTCCACTCCAGCCTGGGTGACAGAGTGAGACTCTGTCTCAAAAAATAAATGAATAAATAAATAAAATTTAAAAATAGGAAGGAAGGAAGGAAGGAAGGAAGGAAGGAAGGAAGGAAGGAAGGAAGGAAGGAAGGAAGGGAGGGAGAGAAAAATAAGAAGCCCCAGAGAGGTCCCTTGTCCTTTCTACCATGTGAGCACACAACCAGAAGGCAGCCGTCTGCAAGGGGAAAGAGGAGCCCTCACCAAAACCCAACGGTGCTGGTGCCCTGATCTTGAGCTTCCAGAACTGTGAGAAATAAATTGCTATTGTTCATAATAGCACCCAGTCTACGGTATTTTGCTATACAGCCTGAACAGACTAAGACATCTGTAAAATGGGAACGTCATAGGATTAAGTGAATTAAGATAGGTAACATGTGTGGTGCAGTGCCCGGTGCACACTGAGAATTGATTCAATGTTAGTTACCACCCTACTATTGAAGCACCTGTGTATAACCGCTCACGTGCTAAGTGGAAGGATTTAAAAAACAATAATAAAAGCAAAGATTTGAATACAAAAATTGACTTTCAAGCCCAAACAAACATGACGTGTGTGCAAAATTTTGGAATAATAGTGAATGATTTTATAAGCCAAGTGCAAGACACATGTCTTAAAAGAATGCTCCCATGGGAGAACACAGTGTTAAATTTCTGACACCCCAGTAATTACAGAGAAATACCCTTTAGACATAAGTGGTTTTCCACTATTCACTTATAAGTTTGTAGTGGAATTCAAACGCTGTGGATTTTGGTTGCAAAAACACAATGCCCAAATTTGTATGCGACCAAAGGTTGTATTGTAATGTAGGTTCTTACGACCTAGAAAGAATTCCTATGATCACCTTAAAAGTCTGCATTCTAGATGAAAGCATTTAATACACTCTCAAAATACACAGGGAGGATTGGGTGAAGACAGGCAGAATGTAGAGGACACCTTAAAGGCATTCAGTTCGAGAACCTCATCATAGCTTTTGAGAACAGGCAGAAGGAAACAAAAACACTGAGGAAACAAAACACTGAGGAAACAAAAACACTGAGATGGGGAGGATAGCATTGAGTCAGTACCTCCAAAGGTATGCTTCTGCCAAAAAAGTGCCTACATGCCAGAGGAATGTTGATTGCTGGACCCTTTTGTTCCATCTAACTGGTTTCATCAAGATTTGGAGTGGCTCTGTGATTGCTTTATACCTGATGGCTTTTCTCAATTGCCGTAGACCCTGTAGTACTTTAAAAATCTTGCTCCCCTTCTAAGAGCCAGGAGAGATGTAGGCTGTGGTTGGGGATAGTTTCTGAAGTTCTCACTGGCTTCTTTGATGATCCCTACTGTGTTATGTATGCTGGGTCAGGTGCACAGGCAATTTTTTTTTTTTTTTTTAATTGAGACAGGGTCTCACTCTATCACCCAGGCTGGAGTACAATGGTGCAGTCTCTGCTCACTGCAACCTCTCTCTCCTAGGTTCAAGCAATCCTCCTGCCTCAGCCTCCCAAGTAGCTGGGATTACAGGCACATGCCTGGCTAATTTTTGTACTTTTAGTAAGGACAGGGTTTCACCATGTTGGTCAGGCTGGTCTCAAACTCCTAACCTCAAGTGCTCTGCCCGCCTCGGCCTCCCAAAGTGCTAGGATTACAGGTTTGAGCCACCGTGCCTGGCCTCAATCCAATTTTTTGAATTACTTAGAATGTTGACATAGGGATTCTTCCACTTAATTGCTGCATTTTAATTTATATAAAATTAATCCTATATAAATTAATAAAAATAATTTAATTTTATATACATTAAGTTCATTTTAATTTATATATGTACATATATATAAAATAAAATACATTTTATTTTCTACACTCTAAGTCCAGTGATGTTTCTGAAGATTTGAAGATTTTTCTAAGCTTTCTTTCTCTCTTGGACCCGCCCTGCCAAATTGTTCACGCTGTTACTACCCAGAAATAAAGTGGGGCATGTAATTGGAAAACATAGGCGTCTACTTACTTATTAACTCATTAGTACCGCGATAACTGAACAGCTTCCTAAGTAAAACAATACCCAACTGCAGTATAAACAAAGTCACAGACAACTGGCTTGTTTAAAACTCATCGCGCTTGAGCAGGAGTTTTCTTTTTCACCTTTTCTGCTAAGGGACTTTTGGTTTTTTTTTCCTGCACATCCACTGTACTCGTTCATGCCCTCTCTGAAGCCCACATCTCCAGCATTTACAATGAGTTTAGAAACAAGTGTGGAAGAAATTGGACCATACAATACCTTCCCCTAGGCATCCAACTAGATGTCACTTTGGAAATTAAGATGAGCTTCCTAATTCTAGAAAGAAGCCACCAGAGCACAGATGCCTGTACATCAGCTGTGACGACATCAGATAGAATGATTGAGGCATGAATAGGAAATTAGGGGGGCATTTGTCATTTAAATACGTATCTGCAATGTTTTTTTTTTTTTTTACAAAAAACCATTTTGCTTTGTTTTTTAATAGTATTGACTGGCCGGGCATGATGGCTCATGCCTGTAATCCCAACACTTTAACAGGCTGAGAAAGGCAGATCACTGAGGTCAGACCAGCCTGACCAACGTGGCAAAACCCCATCTCTACTAAAAATACAAAAATTAGCCAGGTGTGGTGGTGCACACCTGTAATTCCAGCTACTCAGGAGGCTGAGGCAGGAGAATCACTTGAATCCAGGAGGCAGAGGTTGCAGTGAGCTGAGATCATACCACTGCACTCCAGCCTGGGCAACAGAGTGAGACTCTCTTAAAAAAAAAAAATTGTATTGACTGATATTCATAACAGACATGTAGCAGAGTCCAGAGCTTTGCACATAGTACTTGACTGAAAATTAGTTAAGGGAATGAATAAATAGATAAATGAACCACTCTAACATCCTGATTTGAAAGTTCAAGTTTCTAAAATTCTACATGACTTTTTACTGCTTGTTCACAATATCAGAGCTGGGGGCTAAGATGCGGGTCATTTAGTCTAGAGACGTCATTTAGCATTCATTAATCCAACAAAGATGTATTGAGCGTAGTATGTTCCAGGCACCGTTCAAGGCTCTGGGGCTACAACAGAGAACTAAACAGACAAAGCCAGGCCTGCAAGAAACCCACATTCTAATACAGGGAAACAGACAATGGACAAATAAATAAACATACAGTATAGGCAGTAATAAAAAAGGAGAAGAATAAATCAGGGCTGGGGAAGAGAAAGCGTTGGAGGCAGTTTTAGGTGGAGTATCTCCTTTTCAACATCAGGTCAGCTGAATTTTCCCCATTGGGAAATGCCTGTTGACTAGGGTAATACTGATCACCTTTTGCAGAGTGCTTTACAGTTGGCAGTGCGCTTGTCTGCACCACCTCCTCTGAACTTTCCTGCAGCTCCTTGAGTTCCTAATACTCCCCATGCTATCAGCAACAAAACTGAGGAGCAGAAACTGGTTAAAGGGTTCATCCAAGGCTGTGCACCTCATGAGTGCCAGTGCCCGCCTGTGGCTCAGATTTCCTGTTGCCTTTGCCGAGTGTTGCAAAGAGAGGGACCTTCGGTGCCAGCCCTGCCAACTGGGGAATGAGAAAGGGTGAGCTGCTGGGTTTGTGTCCTGCTTGGTTACTCTTTTCTGGAGTTTGATATTTACAGTCCTTGATTTGTTTGTTTACCCCCTAGAGAGAATGAAAGTACAGTGTGTGTATATTATTAAATAAAATCTGTGGGCCAGGCATGGTGGATCACGCCTGTAATCCCAGCACTTTGGGAGGCCAAGGCAGGTGGATTGCTTGAGGCTAGGAATTCAAGACCAGCCTGGCCAACGTGGTGAAATCCCATCTCTACTGAAAATATAAAAATTAATCGGGCATGGTGGTGCACGACTGTAATCCCAGCTACTCAGGAGGCTGAGGCAGGAGAATCACTTGAACCCAGGAGGTGGAGGCTGCAGTTGCAGTGAGCCAAGATTGCACCATTACACTCCAGACTGGGCGACAAAGCAAGACTCCATCTCAAAAAAAAAAAAAAAAATCTATGATGGGTATTAAGATAGAACCACATAGAAGAATTGAGTAGAATTAAAGACTCTCCCAACAATGTTAATATCCACATGCTTATCCCTCCTGTGTTTGTCAATCCGAATCACACCCTAGCTAGGGAGCCGCATAATTTGGCACCTGACTCGGTATTCATCACACTAAAGCCACTTCTTGGTGATGAGAGTCTTTATCAGGAAGTACGTCATCCCTGCTGTACTGAAAGTTTTTAACACTCTGTTTTGAGAGCCAAAACTTCAGTGAGCACACAGAGACAATTCTTTTCCTACTTAGAACAATCCACGTATAAAACCTCAAAGCAGATTTCTCTCACACAAAGCTTTCGTTTTAAATGTGCTCAGTCACTGTTTATTTCAAAGCCGTGTGAGCTTATTTTTTTCTTCTGTTTCTTTCTTTTGGGGGGGGGAAATGAGTAGAATGTTTTCCTTCTTCTCCTAAAAACAAAAAACAAATACAAAAGAAATAATCAATACATATTTACTGAAAATATGGCATGGTTTTAGTAAGGTGCTGACGTCAGCATGATCACATGAGACACTAGAGAAAAACGTAGATTTGAATCTGCAGAGAGATTTGAATTCTACATTGTACATTGAATCTACAAAGAGAGATTTGAATTCTAGCTCTACCACATACTGGGGAGCCGCAGGCAAGTTACTGAGCCTTGGAGCCTCAGGTTCCTCTTCTGTAAAATGGGCATAACACCTGCTCTGAAATGTCATCATGGAACCAGGTGAAATAGAGACTGTTCAACATCTGGCATATATTAGTCAATAAATGGCACTATTACTACACACTAGTTGGACCTTCCCTGAAGGGCAATAAAGGCCTTGACCTGAGCTGGGATCCCCAAAATCCAGAAGGGGAATGGGCAGGGCTGGGCCTCAAGCGTAGATGTGGAGGCAAAGGAAAAGTGAGATCCAGGAGCCTCGGAGTGTGAGGACCAGCCATAGACTCAAGGAAGAGGATGGGAGGCAAAGCCAAAGTCGGCAATCTGCAGTGGTGACTCGGCAGATGATGAAGCTGAGAGGGGCTCCCTGAGACCCACCTCTGGTGGGGAACAGGGGAAGAAACTTACAGACTTCACAGCCAGAGCCACAGTCAGGCAGCCACAGGGTGTATAGCAGGGCTCGTAGAGGAAATGCTGGCTTCCATCTTGAGAGATTTTGCAGTTCCAGTTGACCTGCCGTCAGTGCCATTGCAGATCATCGCTACTTCTCCAAGTCTGTGCCTTCAGCAGTGGTGAATTCAGACAATGTTGTGTTTGTTCTCTGAATACAAATTACTAGTGTTGGGAAACCACAGTGCCTGAGCCAACCCCCCAACTGGAGCTCTTTGTTCGCCGTGCCTGGTCCCTGACTCTGAGAGCCAGAGGGACCTTGGAGGTCAGGAGGCCAACCGCCCACAGGCAGCAGGGATTCCCTCTGCAGCAGGAGCACAGGTGGTGCCGTGCCGCTGTAGGAACACTCCAGGGACAGGACACCCACCCACGGCTTCCAGAAAGCCACCTCCTTGGGTGGTAGCTCTGAGTGGCACAAAGCCCTTTCTGCAGTCACTGCAAAATCTGCCGGCTTTTAATCCCCCCTTCCTGACCCTTTCCACCTAGCGGTCCTCCTTCCATGCACCAGCACTTAACACATCTAATCTCACAGAAAACCATGCTCCAGGTCACTGGCCTCTGCCTTCCCACTGCTAGAGCTGTTCTTTTGGGGACTAGACATCACCGTTCCCTTCAGTCATTGAAGTTGGACCTGAACACTTCCTCATCCTAAATGCTCTCACCTGGACTAATGAAATTTGCAAACATCTGTCTTAAAATGTAGCCATGAAACAGAACATAGTACTCCATATAATGTTGTTAATATGTCAGTCCTATTAACTCCCAGTGAGAACACTGTGGTGTGTGGTTTGCTGTCGTTGCTGTTGTTATTGTTGTTTTTGAGGCCAGGTCCCGCTCTGTCACCCAGGCTGGAGTGCAGTGGTGCATTCCCAGCTCACTGCAGCCTCCAACTCATGGGCTCATGCAGTCCTCCTGCCTCAGCCTCGTGAATAGCTGTGATTACAGGCACAGGCTGCCATGCACAGCTAATTTTTTTTATTTTTTGTAGAGACGGGGTCTTGCTCTGTTGCCCAGTCTTGTGGTTTGTTTCATATACTAATATTGCAAGAGCTTTGGGGTCCACCACAGCACACTTCAGCCTCCTATTCAGGTTGCTGTCAATCACATTCAGGTTGTATGCGTTTTGTTTTGTTAATACTAACTGCTTTTCTCCTCCTACATGTAAGTAGTTGGTTTGTTTAAATCTTCATTCCACATTGTTAAATCCATCAGTCTCACTTTGACCTGTTTGAATCTTGCTTTTAAGCTAAGTTTTTGTCATTTTAAAAATTGGATTTTATAAATTCAACCAAGGGATAATAAAAGTAGTTATCAGTACATAAAAATAAAAGGCCGTGGGTCACAGAGATCGATGAAGCTCTTATTAGATTACAGCTGTTGTTATTGTTAATAATATTGAATGCCACTGATTATTGACCTTGTTCATCAATAATATTAATTTATCATAGTGTTGGTTGTAGTATTACTGCTAGTTCTCATCAGCAGCATATTGGACACGTTATTCATAACTTGATATATTATTTCAGAAATTGACATTCTTTGTATATGGTTATTTTACCCATTATAAGTCTGCCTATGATAAGGGTATACATTTTCATCTTGACCTTGAGTAGATCATGAGAAACTTTGTAAAATGTTTCGCTGAAACCACAGCTTACTCTGCCCAGTAATGCTCCCAAAGAGGAAATTAGGCCAACATGCACCCCTGGCTTTAGACAACAGAAGTCGTCTGCCTGCGCCTTCCTCTTCTTGAGCAGAGACCACAGCTGAGTGACTGCCCAGGGCTTTGACCTCAGCTGCTTCCCTTCCAGGGAGGCGGAGGCGTGTTGGTCCACAGGCGGTCAAGCCTCACCTGCCAGCCAAGCTCACCTCCCAGCTCCTCCCCCAGTCACTATGGTTGTCTCTTAGAGGCCTCTGCCTCTCCCCTTCCTCCGTCCTGAGCTACAGCTCGTATCCACCTAATATTCTATGTACTTATTTATTATTTGTTCATTGTCAAACTCCCCCACTAGAATGCCAACTTCAGCGGGACAGGGACTTTGGGAGTCTATTTTTTTCACTCACTGTATCCTTAGTACTAGGACTAGTACTAAGGACTAGGACTAGTACTAAGGATACAGTTACTTAAGGATACCTCATTTACTAAGGATACCCCATCTACCCGTCTACTAGTACTAAGGATATAGTTACTAAGGATACCGCATTTACTAAGGATACCCCATCTACTAGTACTAAGGATACAGTTATTAAGGATATCCCATCTACTGAGGTCCTGGTATGTCACAGGACCTCAGTAGATACTTGTCATATGAATGAAGGGGGATCATGTGCCTCAGGAGATGTGGCTGGACCCTTATTTGAATGTCTCCAATCCCTTTAGCACCAATGGCAGAGAAGATCAAAAGATGTGGCCTGGAGCCTGAGGATGGTGGCCTAATGAAAGCAGGATGCTTACGTTGATTGTTATTGTTGAGATCTAATTCACATACCATACAATTCATCCATTAAAGTATGCAATTCAGTGATTTGCAGTATATTCACAAGTCATGCAACCATTGCCCCTGTTTTACTACATTTTCGCCACCCCAGAAAGAAATCCTGTACTCATAAGCTATCATCCCCACACACATTAACTCCATCCCTTTGTCCCTATGAAAATACTGATTTATTTTTTCTATGTGTAGATTTGTCTATTCTGCACATTTCGTATCAGTAAACTCAGACAATATGTGGTCTAAGTGATTTGTTTCAGTTAGCATAATGTGTTCAAAGTTCATCCATGTTGTGGCATGTATCAGTACTTCATGCCTTTTCTGAATAATATTCTTTTTTTTTTTTTTTTGAAACGGAGTTTTGCTCTTGTTACCCAGGCTGCAGTGCAATAGTGTGACTTCAACTCACTACAAACTTCACCTCCTGGGTTCAAGCAGTTCTCCTGCCTCAACCTCCGGAGTAGCTGGGATTACAGGCACACACCACCACACCCAGCTAATTTTGTATTTTTAGTAGAGACGGGGTTTCACCATGTTGGTCAGGCTGGTCTCGAACTCCCAACCTCAGGTGATCTACCAGTCTTGGCCTCCCAAGGCGCTGGGATTACAGGTGTGAGCCACCACGCCCAGCGGAATAATATTCTATTATATGGATACATCACATTTTGCTCATCTGTTCATCAGCGGATGGACATTTAGTTTCTTCCTCCTTTTGCCTATTATGTGTAATGTTACTATGAACATTCATATGTAAGTTTCTGTGGATATATGTTTTCATTTCTCTTGGTTATACACCCAGGCATGGGCCACATGGTCCCTCTGTGTTTAACATTTTGAGGAACTGCCAGGCTGTTTTCCAAAGTAGCTGCACCATGTCACAGTCCCACAGGCCGTGCACAAGGGCCCAGATCCCTGCCGTTGTCCCCAGTGCTACTACTGTAGGAAGCTGCTTTTTAGTCTCATTGTTTATCTTACATTCCTTGTAAACTTTGCATTCTTTTCTATAATATAAAGGGTTCATTGTCAAAGTTAAAATATTCACTGTTAGGAAAAATAAAGGAAAGACAAAAATGAGAAGCATTTGGATTGTGCATATTCATTTTGGGAAACTGGGTAGCATTAAAGAAAAGGGAAGAAAGCTGGAGCTATCAGATTCAGTTTCTAGAAACTTTCTCTTCTCTGTTTTGGTGCTTCAGTATTTTGAGGACCTAGACTGCATAAATATGTGGGCACAGAGTAAAAGGATTCTCTCTTTGGTTTATATGCTTGTCCAGCAGAATCACTAAAGAGATTCCTTGAGGCCAGGCACAGTGACTCATACCTGTAATCCTAGCAGTTTGGGAGGCCGAGGCAGGCGGATTACCTGAGCTCAGGAGTTCGAGGCCACCCTGGGTAACATAGTGAAACCCAGTCTCTACTAAAATACAAAAAATTAGCGAGGTGGCTCACACCTGTAGTCCCAGCTACTCAGGAGGCTGAGGCGTGAGAATCGCTTGAACCCAGGAGGCAGAGGTTGCAGTGAGCTGAGATTGTGCCATGCATTCCAGCCTGGGCAACAGAGCAAGACTCTGTCTCCAAAATAAAAAGAGATTCCTTGAGATGCAACAAAACTGTGGCCCACCTTTAGGCTTCTGCAGGTGAAAATGTAAAAAAATGCATTTTCTTGCAGGTGGTGAACTGAATGAACTCTGACTTGCTAGTCAATCTCTTTTAAATTCTTGGGAATCTAAAACCATTTTAGTGAAGTGAGATAATGGAGGCTGTTTTTCTATATTTTTACCCCAACACTATAATTTTCATAACATGAACTGAACTTGGGGTTACAAAAGATTAATTGCTCACCATCAACATTTGCATTCATTTGCAGAGCTTTACTTTTTTGGAAATGATCTTGCCACGTGCAGGAAAAAACATTCCTATCTTTCCTTTGCCTGGTTAACTGTGGAAATTCAGCTTTAAAAAAAAAATTTGTGAGCCACTCTTCATGATTAATGTTATTTGGATTTTTCAAAGCTGTAGTCAGGATTTTTGTTTGTTTACCTTTGTTCTCCTTGAAGAAAACTAGTAATTCATCTATGAATTTGAAAACTCCACATGGCACTTTCCCTGGCTGAGAGGGAAAAGGACATGCCCAGAATATGATTTTTAAGTCAAATTTCAGAGGCAGTTTTCATTTTCTTAATAATTTCCCTTAAAAGACAAGTTTTCAAACCATTAGATTTTTTTTTCATGAAACTCCCAGAGGTTTAACAGGATGGTGTTGGTGAATGATGCCGTGGTTTCTGGTACATGCACAGGACGGGGCAAGACGTTCTGATGCAGCTGTGTGTCATTGCTGGGTGCCAGCTGTGTACATAATTGTTTATTGGTTCCAGTTGATATTGTGCTCAATAAAACACTCACATATTTGTGGGGGAAAAAAAAAACTTTATCAGTTATTTTCCCATCAAATCCTTTGCAAATTAAAACATATTCAACAATTTTCATCAGCATACATTTAGCAAAAGAGAAGTAAATGAAGAAATTAACAGATCTGCTTTCTGTGGGGTGAAGAACCAAGTTAGCCTGTGTCCCAGTTAACCATTGCTAAGTAACAAACCATTGCAAAATATAATAGCTTAAAATAACCAGCATTTATGTAGCTCATGATTGCATATGT